TTGGGGATACGTCCACATCTATGCCCATACAGACAATATTGATTATAAATGTTAATCTATTAATCTATTGTATATTTTACATATTGTATGTAAATTGTATAAATTTGTATATATGTTAGAATATCTTTGACGGAATTATGCATATTTGACTTAAGTTCTCCAGCTCTAATGGACACTCTAAATTCCAAAATATGGTTTAGAAACATGAGACACCAAGTCACCGATTGAAATAAACCCAAAGAATGTGGGGCAGGCTCACACACTGTGACAGTCTCGAGCTAAGGTTAGAAGACAGTTCTGTAAAAATCTCACATAAGGCTATGTGGCAAAGGGTACCATTAGAAGCCAAGTGAGCAGGGCACCCTGAAGAGCTCTAGGAGTTCAGGGAGCCTAGTCATTTGAATGGGAATGGGGAGTCTGCATGATGTTGTCAAGAAGGAAGGAAGAGAGGGAAGGAGGGAAGGAAAGGGAGAGAGGGAGGGAGGGAGGAAAGAAGAGAGGGAGGCAGGCAGAAACCACCTTTCTACTGCTCTCCTGAAAAGTATTATTTCCCAGCTCCACTTCAGTGAAGGAGATCAAGTGACCTGGGCTGAGGTGTGTGTGAACTGCCCCCACCCACATGAAATGAACTAAGACCACTGCATTTAAGCCTCTGAGTAGCTGGCAGATGGTCAATTTCTCTAGCAATATCTTGGAGATTAATAAAAAGCAAGATCTAGGAAACAGCGGGTTTCATTACTTATCACTTAGCGAGGGTCAGAGGCTCTTCTTCCCTGTCATCCTCTCTCCTCCCCTTTCCCCCCTTCTTGCCCCCTTGTTTCCCTCCTGTCATTCTGTTATAATTAACACAAACAGAAACACTACAGGCATCTGTAATAAAGCATTTGCAGATACTATATTATGCAAACAAATAAACAAACAAACAGCAGCTGAAGATTTTTAATTTGTTCTTAAAAATAACCTGAATAGACATTTCTGGAAATAAACACATCACTCATCCTGGTAGATTTTGGATTTTTGTTTTGCATTTGCTGCAGCCCAGTTCATCATTTCCACAATGCCTTGCACAGAAAGTTCCCGCTTTAACTAGTGCTATTTTAGAAAAGAAGGAGAATTTCTAGAACCATGGTTTAAAATGAGGAAATTGTGATTGCAGGTGTGGGGCAGTCTCAGTGTTTTTCTCAGGCAAAATAACACCAAGAATAGCAGCATCTGTAAAGAACTATAAATGGAGAAAAAGGTTTTAAAATGTACTATAGAACTGGGCACCAGAAGATCATGCTTGTAATCCTAGCTACTCAGGAGGCTGAGATCTGAGACTCCTGATTCAAAGCCAGCACAGACAGGTAAGTCCATGAGACTCTTACCTCCAATTAACCACTAAAAGCCCAAGATGGAGCTATGGCTCAAGTGGTAGAGTGCTAGCCCTGAGCAAAAGCAGCTCAGGGATAGCAACCAGGCCCTGAGTCCAAGCCCAACACACACACACACACACACACACACACACACACACACACTTATCTATAATAATTGGAAGGAATCTACTTTCTCCAGAGGAAACGAATATACCAGCATATATACACATCACTGCCTCTCATCATCATGATTTCTTGTGTTCTATGTTCCGGTCTGCAAGCCATTTTAACAAATCAATTCCAAGAGTAGATGATAGGCATTGTAGTCTCAGCTTGAGATGTAGGTATTTTTTAATTTTTATTTTCTCTTCACTTAAAACATCTCTCAGCATTGTAGATGAGGTTACAAGGGCAGGAGAAGCAGACTTAACAATGAGAAATACAGATTCCCCAAACAGAATTCAAATTCTGGCTCTGCCTCTGTGTTCACTGAGCTAATTACATGTGCTTGTTTTATGAGCTGTGTCCACTACTGAAGTCAGTAATACTGTGTGCACCGTAGCCAGAAGTCTGGGGAGGACACAGGGCAATAATGCCTATCATGTAATGATTCATACCATACTTTACAATGGTAGATGCTCCAGAAAGGGCCGACAATAATGACAGTAGTAAGGACAGTGGAGGAATTAATGATATCTTTGCCTTTTTTTCATGGGCTGTAGTGCCTGGGTCACACGCATTCCTCTCTCCATCTGTCCATTCCATAAATATTATCTACTCTGTGCCAGGCATTGTCATAGCATTCTACAAAACAGTACTTTATATTTACTGATGTTCAAAATAAAAAATGCAACTAATATAAACTTAACAGGAGTTAACAGGGAAGAATGGAAGGTGGACATATACAATCTTGGGAAACTACTGAATTCATTAGGCTGAAGTGTATGGCATTGGTTTTTAGTCATGTTATACTTCCAGAGCTGTGGTAAGTGTATATACAAAGCCAAGCCTGTTATTAAACTTTCTCTATTAGGAAATACAAGCCTTTCAAAGCACGCTGTATCTTAGCAGAGACATTTGCAAATCTTACTCATAGGCAAAAGGCCTTGGAAAGTTTTACTGTATCAAGGCTATCACTATCCAAATGAATTTTGTGTTTGAACCAAATTTCATATAAGGGTAATAGTCAATCAGAAAGGACTTCTTTTCCCAAAGTCACCAGTAAATGTTCCATTCTTTTGTCTCCCATTGTGACATTTGCTTTTGTAAGTCTTCTTACCTTTATTTCTCTTCCATCATATCTTGTATGCTTATCTTCCTGAAGACCAGGGCATTGTTCATTCTGCTCATTGCATTTACTTATCTACTATTTATTGACTGTCTACCAAGACAGGAACTTGTCTCTTCTCTCCTTAATCACATTTTACTGTACCCTATCATCTGTTGATTCAGCCCAAGTCTTCACTGTAGTTCCTCTTTACACAAAATCTCATTTTCTATTCTATCTGTTCACATTGTCTGTATATAGTAGGGAAGTACTTTGACCATACACCCTATGCATGTCTTCCTGCTTCCATTTAACAAAAATTGTTTTTGAAGAAAGGTCTTAATATGTAGCCCAGATGGTCTCAAACTCATGAGCATCCTGTCTCAGCCTCCCAAGTGCTAGAATTACAGGTGTACACTACCAGGTCTGGCTGTAATTCTAAAAATCTTTTTTTTCCAATACTGGAGTTTGAACTCAAGATTCTCATACTTGGGAAGCAAGCATTTTACCACTTTTTTTGGAGGGGTCCAGTTGTGGGGCCTGAACTCTGGGCCTGGGTGCTGTCCCTCAGCTCTTCAGCTCAAGGCTAGTGCTCTACCACTTGAGCCACAGCGCCACTTCTGGCTTTTTTCTTTTTGCTTATGTGGTGCTGAGGAATTGAACCCAGGGCCTCAGGCATGCAAGGCAAGCGCTCTACCACTGAGCCAACTTCCCAGCCCCCACATTTTACCACTTGAATGCTATTTTGCTTCCTTCCTGTGTAACAGGGATCATAGATATATGCTACCATTCCCACTTGCTTGTTGAGATGGTATGTCTCAATAACTTTTTACCTGGGATGTCACAAACCTTGATCCTCCTGATCTCTTCCTTCTGAGTAGCTTCCTTCTGACATACCTATCTGGCCTCACTAGATATTTTTATAACAAAGTTTTGACCACCAAAATGATTCTTATCCTTAAAGAATGTCTTACTAAAGACTTATTTCCTGGGGGCTGGCAAGGTGACTCAGCAGTAGAGTGCTTGCCTTGCATGTATGAGGCCCTGGGTTCCATTCCTCAGTACCACATAAGCAGAAAAAGCTGGAAGTGGCGCTGTGGCTCCAGTGGTAGAGCGCTAGCCTTGACCTGAATTGCTGAGGGACAGCGCCCAGACCCAGAGTTCAGGCTCTATGACCGGCAAAAAAAAAAACAAAAAACACTTATTTCCTGTGTAGAGGAAAACTCTATTTCACCTGTTCTTAGACTTTTGGATTTTGTGATGTCTACATTTACAGTATTGGGTTCCAACTTACGGTTTCTCATTTTCCCCTTTATATTATCAAGTGAGAATAAATGCCAGTACCTACCATTACTATTGTTTATTTTTAAAAAGGCTTTTAAAAGTATCAATAGGAAATTCATAATCTGAGAATAATGGTTAGAAAAACACATTTACCTCATTTAAAAAAATGCATGGGCAGCATGTGGGAAGCATTCACATATGGCTGCTAGAGCGGCTAAAGAAGGACAGTGAGAAGTGCGTGGCCCTCAACAAGGGAGGCCATTAGTGGTGGTCTTAGCCTCTCTTACTACATCAGGCCTCCTGTGAAGTACCTAACTGTACCAATTCATTCAAGTCATAGAGTAAATTTCCTCCATAGACAAGGAAATAAAGGCTGAAGAATTTAAGTCAGTTCTTTAAGGTAACAGAGCTAGCAAGTGGTGAAGTTACTATCCACACCCAGGTCCACGTGATTTATAGGCCAGTGCAATAAAATTCTGTACAATGGTGCCGCTCAGATGTATGAAATATGGAAGACCTCATTTGCTACAAGCTGAATAGGCAACTTCCAGAGTTGAAATTACCACAAGTTGAAGTTTGCTCCAGGGATTCTCAACATGACACTGTTGACATTTTGGACCGTACACAGCTGTTTGCTGCAGGGTTTATCTTGTATACTGTAGACATTTAACGGTACCTATGGCCTCTCACCAGATGCTACTAGTGCTGTCCCCACAATTACAACATTTAAAAATGTGCCTAAACGCTGTCACCTAACATCTAAGGGGAACACTGCCCACAATTGAGAACCACTAGTTTAATTCAGTCCTGCCATACAGACACATCTAAAGGCAATCCTATATACACTAACACAGATTTGAAAGGGCAGCACTGTTCACCATCATCTTTTCTGTTTGCAGCTCTGTAAATTGCTTTAATAAGCAATAACACTGTCATTTCATTCAAACACGAATTAAAATATCTCTTGAAACATTAGTTTTAAAGAACTTTAGCTTGTGAAAAAAGAATTTTATTTTGATGGTTATGAGGGGAAAGTTCCAGAAATTTACTTGAAACTAGGAAAACAATAATAATTAAATTTCTCACAAGGTTACCATGTAAATGAAATTAAGCTAGTCGAGAAATAAGTGACACTATCCAGTTGTAAAGGCTTCCTCCTGTTACAATACAACCAGTAGCAAGATCAAAAAGTCTCTCAAGATTGAATACAGCAGGCCGGGAGACTTCAAATGGAACCTGGGGGAATAAAGCACATACACATTTGTGAAATGTTGTTTCAAACTACGGACTGATGTAAAATTCTTAAAATACCAACTACAACTTTTATATAATATTTTCGTGTGTCTGTGTGTGCCAATAGCAGGGCTTGAACTCAAGGCCTGGTATTCTTGCTCAGCTTTTTCACTCATGCTGGTGCTCTACCACTTGAACCATCCACTTTCAGCTTTTTGCTGGTTAACTGAAGAAACGAGTCCTAAGAATTTGTCTGATTGAGCGGGCTTTGAACTGTGATCCTCCAATCTCAGCCTCCTAAGTAGTTAGGACTCTAGGTGTAGCGCTAGAGACCATATCATATAAGTATTTTAAATCAAATACAGTTAATTTTGTGCCTAAAGTAAGACACAAAGCTTGATAACTCTATGCAGCTGGGCACCAGTGGCTCACGCCTGTAATCCTAGCTACTCAGGAGGCTGAGATCTGAGGATCACCGTTCAAAGCCAGCCAGGGCAGGAAAGTCTGTGAGACTCTTATCTCCAATAAATCACTAGAAAACCAGAAGTGGCATTGTGGCTTAAGTGTTAAGAGTGCTCACCTTGAGCTGAAGAGCTGAGGGACAGGGCCCAAGCCCAGAGTTCAAGCCCCACTACCGACAAAAAAAAAGTCCCATATGCCATTTGATATTCTATAAAATATTAATACTTCTAAAACATAGTCTATATGTAATCTTCATACATGCTTCTAAGCATGGGGCATGGGGCTTTTGGCTCTGTTTAAACTATTGCTTTCTTTTACAGAATGGCCAGTTGACATTTTGGTCTGTGTCACCTTCCTTTTGAGTCTGCCCACAGTCACAGAAAAAACATCAATAAATTATGTGCCAAGATTTCTGTATCTGAAAAAGATGCTGAGTTGTCATGACCAAGGGGCAAGCGCTGGTGCATCCACATTTATCCTAAGCAGGCTAAAATTTAGAAAATAAGGATTACTCCTGTGGTCTTAACATTGGTTTAAATGGAGGAAAATCCATAGAGATGGAACAAAAATGATGAACAGGAAAGGAATGTTTCCCGGGGACCCACTTCATGCTGATCCAGATACTTTTATTAATGAATGCACACATGCCATGTAAAATGACCACAGTAAATTAACTCCTTTGGGGGCTGAAAATTACAGGACAAGTTTTATTAATTTCTTATCTATTTAATAAATGAACCATCCATTCTTTTTATTCCTAAAAAAGCATAAGGAACCTTCATGTGGAAGATGTTTTTGGTAACTTTTTCTTCAAATTAAAATGGCCAAATAAATAGTGCTTTCTGGAACTTCAAGCAATACAGTGGCAAGTACATAAAAAGTTAGTAACATCTCCCTTCTTTGCTCAACCCTAATGTAATCCATGTTTCCAGCCTGGTAGGATTTTTGCATGTGGTTCTTATTTTTCTTTTGTAAACAGAATAATTTCCAGTATTAACTTATTCAATTAACAACATGCAAGAGAAATCTCTTCTTAATTAATTCAGGAAGGTAGAATAACAACATAGAGTATGCAAGCATTCTAGAGTAATACAGGCAGATTCAAATTCAGACCTCACAACACACCAGCCCTTGGAAAGGCAGAATATCCTGTTTATACTTTAACTGCATCATTCATAAGCAGAAATGACAATGGTCCCTGTATCATGTTGTCCTTACAAGGACTGAATGAGTCTATTCAAATAAAATGGAGTGGTGTCTATCAAATAATAATTATATATTATGATCAATATCACTATATTTTTTTCTGTAGCTAGTCTTTTTTACCCCTAAGGTGAAAGTGTATTTTCATTCAAGGTTGAAAAATTGTCCAAACATGAAAACATGTAACATATTTAAATTAATTATATAAAACTTATTGTTTATAGTATCCCCTTTGCAAAGATCCACAAGAAATTGTACAAGTAACTAATATACATTAGTCCCAACATAATCCTGGTTGCTCATGCCCACACCCAAAGCAGATGCTCTTTTCATTTCAAACCCATGATCAGAGACCAAGAGAAAGTTTTCATTTATATAAAACAAAAATCACATGGGCCAAAAAAAGAACAAAAAGACTCATGAGATTAGTTTTCATTTGACTAATTCCAATGTGTTGATGCAACTTTTTTTTACATTTTTATAACTTACATCTGTACAAAGGGCTTTCATTGAGACACTTGCATGCATATATGCAACACATTCTACCAAATTGTCTCTCTCCATCGCACGCCCTCACTCCTTACTCCTTACAATAATCTCAACAGGCTTGGATTTTCTATTTTCTTAAAGATGTCTATCCATTGCCCCTCATCACTCTTGGGGGTATCTATTTCCCAACAGAGCCTATTTTACTTTCCTCTCATTTTCTTTTAGTGTATTTTAATTGTACAAAGGGATTTGGTATGTCAATCAACCCGAGCACATCCTTTGATGGATATATATTAGTTCATGGTCTGAACACCCCTCCTGAATTAGTGACTCATTCTCCAGAGACTTTTTTCACTTGTGTACATGCTTAGGTACAGGAGCTCTTTTGTAATAAGTCCTTAAGTTGGTGTTTTTTCTGTCGGTCATGAGGTTTGAACTCAGGGCTTGGGTGCTGTCCCTCAGTTCTTCAGCTCAAGGCTAGCACTCTACCACTTGAGCCACAGCACCACTTCCAGTTTTCTGATGGTGAATTGGAGATAAGAGTCTCATGGACTTTCCTGCCCGCACTGGCTTTGAACTGTGATCCTCAGATTTGAGCCTCATGAGTAGTTAGGATTACAGGTGTGAGCCACCTGAGCCGGGCTACCTAAAGTTGTTTTTTAGTCAAAGAGTGCCTATTTTTTACATTTTTTATTGTGAAAATACTGTACAGAGGGGTTACAATTACATGGGCAAGATAATGAGAACATTTCTTATCGAGCATTGTAGCCTCCTCTTTTGTTTCCCCTTCCCATCCCTTCCCATTCCTTCCCATCCTCCCCCACCCCACCGAATCCACCTCTCCCTTCCCCCCCTCACCAAAGTTGTAAAGTTCGTTTTCGACATAACGACTTGCACATCTCATTGTTGCAATGGGTCCACCTGTATCCCTATTTAAACAATTTGTTTTTGCCCTTCCCCTCCACAAATTATACCAACATCAAATGCAGTGAAAGCAGGGGATATACCATGGGGGAGGGACATGCGAAGCAACAAAGAAATCATCTTATAAATGTGTTAGAAACAATCGCATGAAAGAAAAAAAAAACATTTGAATATATATCTTAGGGTTCATTTCCTTAACATCAACCTAAATGTTAAAATGTAAAGGATATCAAGGTCAGATAAGTTGATATCTTTTACATTTTAACATTTATTGCCAGAATTACTTTCCCAATAGGTGGTGGCAATTAACATTTCAGCCAGAAATATATGAGGGCTTCCTCTAAACCCAAGCTGCACATTATGGATTGTTATAAACCTTGATTATTGTTATATTTGCTTTTTCATTGCCATTTTTACTTTAAAAAGGGAAACAGTTGGTGATCTAATACTGTTTTATTGATTTGTTAATAAGTTCTATGTGCTTAGCATGATTATTTTGGTTGTATCTCATCACTATTTAATGGCACTGAACATTTTGTATTTTATAGTGATGAAACATCTAATGCCCAACTCAAATTACTTTAACACATGACTTTTCAAAGCACACACACAAAAATATAATTAGTATGAAGGTATTTATATCATGTTATATCTCTCATATGTAATCCTTGCCATACTAAAGACAGGAATAGTTTTTTAATCTAAGTTAATTTTATTTAACATTAGAGTTACCTTCATGGCATAATTTATAGAAAAAACAGAGCATTTAAAGTTCTGAACCTTGTCAACGAAACTCTAGAAACAAGTGTCCATTTGTCAAAGGGTGAAGATTAATTGTTGAGTTTATTTATGGAGGTCACAAGTAGAACTTTCACATCACAAGGATGAAATAGAGTAGCTGTCACTCAGAAGCCACTAAATTGTGTTTGCCCTCAGGAGAAAACAAATTACTCTAAACTGTCCCCCCCTCCAACTTTTCTAGATACTCTGGACATTTAGATACCTTCCCTTTGGTAGACAAGCCTAGTGCTTCAGATTACATATATCTGAATCATGATAAAACACAAAATTCTATCGTTTTATTGTTGGGTACATTTTTAAGATAAATTTCTGAGTGAGTTAAAACAAGTAGAAAGCTGAGAAATTACAAGTATGAAAACAGATATACAATTTTAAAAATTAATATATTTAATATATTCATGTAACTATTACTCATATTAAGAAATTAAACATATACACAAAAGTGGGGTTACTGGTTCATTGGGCAATACTTAGTTCTAAGCCAATTCTATTAATGTTTTTTTCTTTCTTCAGAGGATTGAACTTAGGGCCTTGCCCTTGATAGGTAAGCACTCTACCATTTGAGCCATACCTGAATATCAGTTGTTTTTCTAATTTACTTTCCCTTTTAGAGAACTTCAGTTGTTCCATATCCTCACAAATTTTGATAAATTTCATCTTAAAATTTCTACCAGTCTGATGTATTTTGTGTCCAGATAGCCCGATAACTAATACATTTATAATTATGGTATAGATTTGTTTGACGAAGTTCAGGTATTTGTCCTACTTTTACTGATATATACAGCAAATTTACTGTTTTTTTTCCTAAACTAGTCCATTGCTATATGGACCCATTGCAACAATGAGATGTACCAGTTGTTATGTCGAAAAGTGAACTTTACAACTTTGGTCAGGTGGTGGTTGAGGGGGGGATGGAGGGGGGGCAGGGTGGGAGATGAGAAGGGATGGGAAACAAAGGAAAAAAATAAAAGTACCCCAAATAAATGACTATAATTGGACTGTGTTTAAGACATCACTAAGTGTGTGAAATGTAGTCATGAAGCACATATATATATACTTATATATAGATGAATATATGTGTTTATATATGTATGTGAGTATATATAGGTATATATATGTATATA